AAATAACTAAAATGAGAAAACAACAAGACAAAGCAACCATGGCTTGAATCAGGTGTACTTCGATCTTTAAATTGACATCATTGCTTTTCAGCACCTTGGAGAGGCTCTTGACAGCAAATTTCCATAATGCAACATGTCTTTTGATTTCTTAACTGCTGGAACCAAGAGTGCTGATTGTGGATCTAAGGGCGATGATATTGTTAAAAAATTGAATCTTCTCTCCATCTTCAATGATGTTGCCTATTGCTTAATAATGAAGACTTTTATTTCTTAATATTAAAATGAACAGGTTTGGAGAGAAAATACAAACCTGATGCACTCCCTTCCCAATTCCGGTGCTCCCCTGCTCTGTTCACACAACAGCCTCTTTATTCAGGTATAGGTTCTGCATGAGCACAATCAAGGGCTCTGGGATTCCCATTCTTCTTACATGCTACAACTTGTCGTGATCCATAAAATACCTCTGCATAATCAATAAAACACAAATAGACATTCTTCTGGTATTGCTTACTTTCACCCAGGATCCATCTGACATCAGTAATAATATCCCTGGTGCCACAGCCTCTTCTAAATCCTGCTTGAACTTCTGTCAGTTCCTTATCATTCCAGCCGTTTTTGAATGCTCTTCAGCAGTATTTTGCTTGCATGAGATATCAATGCTATTGTTCGATAATTTCTACATTCAGTTGGATCAACTTTCTTGGGAATGGGAACAAATATGGACCTCTTCCAATTCGTTGACCAGACAGCCATCCTCCAAATTTCCTGGCATAGACTGGTGAGTGCATCCAAGGCTGCATCTGTTTATTGAAACAAGTCAATTAGTATCCCATCAATTCCTGGGGCTTTATTTTTTAACCAGTGCCTTCAATGCAGCTTCTACTTCCCCCTTCATTACCATTGGCTCCATTTCACATGGTACTTCTTGAAAGTTTTCAGTGTCAATCAAATATTTCTGGTACAGTGACTCCGTGTATTCCTTTTATTTTCTTTGGACACTTTCTGGATCATTCAATAAATTGCCCAAAGCTTCCCTCAATATTGCAACATAAGGCTTAAATTTGTTTTTCAGTTCTTTCATCTTGAGAAATGCAGAGCGAGTTCTTTCCTTTTCATTCTCCAATTCCAGCTCTCTCCACATTCCATTTATAGTAGTTTTCTTTGTCTTCCCCAGCTGCCCTTTGAAATCATCTGCTCAGCTCTTTCACTTCCAACATGTTGTCCTTTACATTTGGCTTCTCAACGCTCGAGTGCAAACTTTAGGGTCATCCATTTCAATTTTTTCTTTCTCCTCTGTTTTTGTAATGACCTTTTCCTCCCTTCATGGAAGTATCATCTCACAATTAATCTGGTTGTATTCTCTCTCCCTAACTGTTCAATCAGTATGCTGAGAAAATTATCTGAGAAGCTAGACTCTATGAATAGGAGTGTGGCATCAGGATTGGAGGGAGACTTATAAATGCATTATGCAAATGATACAACCTTGCTTGCTAAAAGTGAGGAAGGCTTGAAGCACTTGTTGCAGAGGATGAAGGAATGCAGCCTTCAGTATGGATTGAGTCACAATATCAAGAAAACAAAGATTCTTACCACTGGACCAATAGGTAGTGTCATGATGGATGGAGAGGAGATTGTAACTGTCGACAGCTTCATCTTGCTTGGATCCACAATTAACACACTTGGTACAAGCAGTCAGGAAATAAGGAGACAAATTGCACTGGAAAATCTGCAGTTTGGGACCTTTCCAAGTTATTGAGGAGTAGTGATGTCACTTTTGAGAACTAAGGTGCATTTTACTCATACCATAGTCTTTCTGATGACTAGCTATGATCTGAGACCTGGGAATGACAGAAGAATTGACGCCTTTAGGCTGTGGTGTTGGAGAAGAGCCCTGGCCATCCCCTGGATGGCCAAGAGAACGAACAGATATGTCTTGGAAATGGTGCAGCCTCAGTGCTCTTTGGAGGTAAGAATGATGAGGCTTCGCCTCATATACTTTAGACATGTTGGTAGGAGGTGCTGTTCCTTGGAGTGGGACATGATGTTGGGAAGGGTGGAGGATAGGCGAGGGAGAAGACCCTCAACCCAGGCAGATTGATACGGTGACTGCCACAATGGGCTGTTGTGTGTCAGAAAGTGTGAAGATAGTGCAGGATAGAACAGGGTTCAGATCTTTTGTTCATAGGGTCGCTATGAGTTGTGCTCGACTTGACATCACCTAACAACAACAACAATATTAAAACGTAATCTATCATGTAGGAAAACTGTATCTTCTGCACCAAATGTTTCAAGTCCTTTTCACTTTCAGCAAACACGGTTGTGTCATCTGCATAATGCATGTTGTTGGTGAGTCTTCTTCTAATCCTGATACCATATTCTTCTTCATAAAGTCCAGTTTATTGAATAATTTGTTCAGCATAAAGGCTGAATAGCTATGGAGAAAGCATACAGTCTTAACAATGTCTTTCTTGATTTAAAACCATACGATGATTCCTTGCTTTATTCAGACAACAGCGTCTTTGTCTAGGTATAAGTCTCTCATAAGCAAAATTAAATGTTCTGAAATTTCTGGTTTCAATTTTAGCCATAATTTGTTAGGATCCACACAGTGAAATGCCTTTCAACAAAACACAGATATCCTTCTGGTATTCTTTCCCACAAGATCAATCTGGCATCAGCAATAATATCCCTAGCGCCACAGCCTTTTCTGAATCCAGCTTGAATTTCTGCTTGTTCTCTGTCCATATACTGTGCTAGATAATAATATACTGTTTTGGATAATCTTCAGCAAGATTTACTTGCGTGTGATATCGTGTGATAACTTCCACATTCTGTTGAATCACCTTTTGGGGGTTGGGTGCAAATATCTCTTCCAGTCAATTGGTTAGATAGCTGTCTTCCAAATTTCTTGGCATAGGCTGATAAGCACCTGTGGGGCTGCATCTGTTTGTTGAAACATGTCATCTTGTGCCATCAGTTCTGGGGCCTTATTTTTTCCCCCCTATTTCCTTCAGTGTGGCTTAAATGACTTCCTTCATTACCATTGGTTCTTGATTATATGGCACTTTGATTCATGATTATATGATACTTCCTGAAATGATTCCATGTCAATAAATTTTTTGGGTTCAATGATTCTGTGTATTCTCCCCATCTTCTTTTGATGCTTTCTTGAGCATTCAAGATTTTTCATCTTTCAGTATTGCAACATAAGGCTTGAATTGTTTCTCAGTTCTTTCAGCCTGAGAAAGTAAAATAATGTTTTCCTTTTTATATTCTAATTCCAGCTCTTTGCACTTTTTGTTATAATAGTTTGTCTTCTTGAACTGCCCTTTGCAATTTTCTGCTTATCTACTTGACATTTCTTCCCTTTGTTTTGGCTTTTTGACATTTTAGTGTAATTTTCTCAGTCCCTTCTGACAACCTCTTTAGTCCTTTTTTTCTTGTGGATGATACCTTGCTCATATCCTATACCCCAACTAGTCTTCAGCCATTAGTGTTCAATGCCTCAAATCTACCTTTGAGATGGTTTTAAAATTCAGGTGGTATAGACTTAGGTTCTATTTTGGCTCTTCTGAACCTTTTAAATTTTCTATATCTTCAGTTTGAACTTGCACTAATTACCAGTAGAGCTGTCAGTTTAAGAAAGAGGAATTCTCGTGGCCTAGTGGTAAGACCTTGTGCTGCAGACCCAAGGGCAAGTGGTTCAAATTTTAAGGAGAAAAATGGGCAATTTCCTCCTGCATGACTGCCTTTGAAAACTTACTGGAGGTTCAACTTGAGTCAGTTCAGACTCAACAAAACCAGGATTGGCTATCCACTTCTGAATTAGAGGCCTTCAAAAACCCTGTGAGCAAGAGAAGAATACTATTAAAAATAGTACTGGAGCTACAGCCCCAGATTAGATGTCAGAACGAAAACAGCTGCAAACGTTCATTACTACCTGGAATGTATACATGGAAGATCTGTTATTACAGCTATTATTAAAATACATTCGCCAACATCTAAAGCCAAAAGGGAGGAAATTGAAGATTTCTACCATGTTTGCAGTCTGAAATGGACCAAACAGGCAATCGAGATGCATTATCAATAATTGGTAGCTGGAATGTAAAAGTTGGAAACGAAGAAATAAGGCTGGAGACAGAGTGATCGAATTTTGTGCATTCAACAATTTATTAATTAAAAACACCTTTTTTAACACATGGCAACTGCACAAAATGAACCTCAGCTGACGGATTTACAAAGGCAATTGATTGAATACATTTGTGGTAAGAATGGTTGGAGCAGCTCAACATCAACAGTCAGAACTAGGTTATGTGCATTCAGAAATCAAAAAGATTTCATATTTCTTTTTCTATCAAATAAAACAGGGGATTTTGATAGCTGAGTGGTATAAAGGCAACTCTGCCAACTTAAAGGCATGTGCTTCAAATCATCCAGCTGCTTCGTGTGTTTCGAACCCACCGGCTGGTCCATGTGAGAAAGATGGGCAAGGACTCTAGCGATCTACAGCCTCAAAAACCCACTGGTCAGCTGAGTTGGTTCCCGCCCCATGAGTAAGTGAGAGATCAAACGAACAGAGAATTCACAATGTAAAACTAAATAAAGAGAATGCTACAACGTAATAGTAATGCACACCAAGTTTCTGGGTCCCGTTTCTCAGTTTCAAGGTGCACTTTGAACTTAAAAGAAAAGAATTGAATCTTGGGAATACGTAAGTTACTTTGGGCACTGAAGTCTTCCAGACACACAATTCTCACCCAGCCCCGCCCTGCCTGAAGTACGGTTGAGCACTAAGGCAGCTACTATAGGCCGAAGCTGTCCACTAGCCTCCTCCGCACGTCTCCATTGGTTGGACACGGTTAGCGCCAAATTGCAGAGGCGTGGGAGGAGCAGCGCCTGAGGGAGCGCCAGCCGCGCCTGTAGTCTGCAGATCTTTGTAGTCTGCTGGACTTTGGCGTGCGAAGGGCCCTAGAGGAATCCGCACACCGGCGTGCTCCGCCATGTTCTGTGAAAAGGCCTTGGAGTTGGTTCGTGAGCTGCACCACATGCCGGAAGGGCAGCTGTCTTCCTTTAATGTAAGGAGGCGGGTGGAAAGACGGTGTCACGTGGACGTGCTCCATGGGCGGGCGTTGGCTGAGAGATGTTTGCGGATTTTCTAGACTCAGTTTTCTTTCCTGCAGCGCCACCTCTTGGGTTGGGAAATACTCGGATACAGACATTACCTTCGACGACCTAGCGATTAATTTGCAGTTTTCTTATGACTGTGTCTCCTTGAGTGTATTTCCTTTTGTGGTTCTGTTTCTGTTCCTTTTTTCTTTTTTTACAAAAGCATTTTTTTAAAATATTTTTTTTTATTGGGAAAAACATATTGGGGGTACAAGGAGGTGAGGGTTGGGGGCAGAAGGGTGAGGATGGGCTAGTATGCAGCTGCAGAGCTGCACAGTTTGGTCGGTGGGGGGAGCAGGTAAAGGAAATGAGGGTCCAGTCGGGACCAGATGCTACAGAGGAATGACAAGCATTTTCTAATAGTAATTAAACCAACTGTCTTATTGATTTGGGAATTGGATGC